TAAGTGTCACATGATCTCACTCATATGTAGAATCTAATAAACAAAATAAATTGATAAACAAAATAGATCCAGAGACATAGAAGCATGGAACAGATTGACAAATTTCAGAAGGAAGGTGGGGGAGGGTGGATTGGTGGGAAGAGATCAACCAAAGAACTTGTATGCATATATGCATAACCCCTGGACACAGACAATAGGGTGGTGAAGGCCTGGGGCAAGGTTGGGGGGCGGGCTGGAAGAGGTCAATGGGGGAAAGAGGGACATATGTAATACCTTCAACAATAAAGATTTTTTTAAATAAAATAAAAAGAAAGTAGGAATATGTCAATCGGGAAAATATTGTTTTATTTAAAATTCCCCCAATGACTGTTTAAAGTTTTATTAATTTTTGGAGAGAGTGGAAAGGAGAGGATAGAGAGAGAAAAACATCAACATGAGAGCAAACATCTATTGGCTACCTCCTGCAGGCCCCCTGCCAGGGATGGAGCCCACAACCCCAGCATGTGCCCTGACCAGGATCAAACCAGCAACCTTTCAGTAGACTGGACCCAGACCAGAGAAGTGGAAGTGCCTGGGAGTTCACACCAACCAAGGACAGCTGTTAGACAATGATGGATAAGAGAATATGAAAGCTAACCTCTCTTGCCTTCAGGGATGACAGACTTTACAGAGTACTTCATGCTCCAGAACTTCCCTGGAATCTTGATGAGCCTGCATTTCTGAAATCATGCCCTCAGTTGGTTTCTTTGTCTTCCTTATCATGTCCCCTCACTACCAAACTGGCTTCTCCTGGGAGCATTTCCTTAATCAAACCCTGGCCCAGGAACTCTCATCTCAGGACCTGATTCTGAGGTTCCTGATCTAAGCTAACATAATATAAAGCAATGTATATTAAATACTCAAAGATTTAAAAGTGGTACCATGCCCAGAGGGCTCAGTGGTTGAGCATCGACCTATGAACCAGGAGGTCAGGGCTCAATTCTGGTCAAGGCACATGCCTGGGTTGCAGACTCCATCCCCAGTAGGGGGTGTGCAGGAGGCAGCTGATCAATGATTCTCTCTCATCATTGATGTTTCCATCTCTCGCTCCCTCTCCCTTCCTCTCTGCAATCAATTAAAAAATAATAATAAGTAAAAAAATAAAAAGTGGTACCATAAAGAATGAGCAAACAATGAGAAACTATTAAAAATGAATAGGTATATTTGGAAAAGAACCAAATAGAACTTTTAAAATGAAAAGTTAATTATTGAAATAACTCAATTGATGGTTTAAACAGCAGATCAGACACAGCTAAAACTAGAATTAGTAAACTAGAAGATCTAAAAATTGTACCCATGCCCTAGCCAGTCTGGCTCAGTGGATAGAGTGTCAGCCTGCAGACTGAAGGATCCTGGGTTTGATTCTGGTCAAGGGCACATACCTCGATGGTAGGCTCGATCCCCAGCCCTGGTCATGGCGCATGTGGGAAGCAACCAATTGATGTGTCTCTCTCACATTGATATTTCTCTCTCTGTTCCTCCCCGTCACTTCCATTCTCTCTAAAAATCAATGGAAAAATATGCTCAGGTAAGGATTAACAAAAAAATAAAGATTTAAAAAAAAGTGTAACAAGAATATATTCCAAAGATATAGGGAGAAAGAATATATAAAAGAGAGGTTAAAACAGTGTACAAATCATGTGTTGTGAAATTGTGCACCTGTATAATATTCCAAACTAATGTCACCTCAATAAATTCAATAAAAAAGGGGTGGGGGGAGTCAGTATAAGACAAAGACAAAAAAAGAGAGAGAGAGAGGTTAAAAGATATGAATGAATTGGTTCAATATACATATAATCATAATCCCAGAAGGAAAAAAAACCCAGCAATCTCACTCTACAATATGTATCCTGTAGACACTCAAGCACTTATGCACTGGACATATGCCCCAAACTGAAAACAACTCTAATGTTCATCAAAAGGAAAAAGATAAATAAATTATAGCAAAGTCACACAGTAGAGTATTATATAGCAACTAGAGGCCCAGTGCACGAAATTCATGCAGGGGGGAGGAGGGTCCCTCAGTCCAGCCTACACCCTCTCACAATCCAGGACCCCTTGAGGGATCAGGCTTAAACCAGCATTCAGACATCCCTCTCACAATTTGGCACCGCTGGCTACTAACCGCTCTCCTGCCTGCCTGCCTGATCGCCCCTAACCACTCTGCCTACCTACTCATCGCCCCTAACCCCTTTGCCTGCCTGCCTCATCGCCCCTAACCACTCACCTGCCTGCTCATCACCCCTAACCCCTCTGCCTGCCTGCCTGATTGCCCCTACCTGCTCGCCTGCCTGCCTCATCGCCCCTAACCACTCTGCCTGCCTGATCGCCCCTAACCACTCTGCCTGCCTGATCGCCCCTAACCACTCTGCCTGCCTGATCGCCCCTAACCACTCTGCCTGCCTGATCGCCCCTACCCCCTCTGCCTGCCTCCTGATTGCCCCGAACCCCTCTGCCTGCCTGCCTGATTGCCCCTAACTGCTCGCCTGCCTGCCTGATCACCTCTAACCATTCTGCCTGCCTGATCGCCCCTAACCCCTCTGCCTGCCTCCTGATTGCCCCGAACCCCTCTGCCTGCCTGCCTGATTGCCCCTAACCACTCTGCATGCCTGCCTGATTGCCCCTAACCACTCTCCTGCCTGCCTTATTGCCCCTAACTGCTCGCCTGCCTGCCTGATCACCCCTAACCGCCTCTGTCTCGGCCCCCGCCGCCACAACTTCATCTGGAAGGATGTCCGGAATGACGTCTGGAAGGTCATTCGGTTGTCCGGTCTAATTAACATATTACACTTTTATTATTATAGAAGATGAAAACAGATGTACTATAGCTATAAGCAATAACATGGATGAATCTCAAAAATATTTTTATAAACCACAAAAATGAGCAAAAATAAATCATATATTGTTTGGTTATATATATAACTATTTTTAAGGCAAGTTAATAGTAAATACAAAATAAAGGATATTTGTTGCTTCCGGTGAAAAGGCAGGGGAGTCAAACCCATGAGATACACACAGGGTATTGATAATATTCTAGATGTCAAGTTAGATAATTTATTATATTCTTCATAAACTAGCATAAATGATCTACTTGGTTGCATATATTACATATTATATTAAAAGTAGTATTTGCAGGATCTCTATAAAGCAAATAGTATAAATGGATACTGAAGAGCTCAGACCCACCCTTAACATGTACATAGACCAGGGCTAGAATCTTGTGTCTTACTGGGTCTGTGAGCAGGTTACTGACCATTTATAGACCTAACTTTTCTCATAAAATAATGGCAATAATATCTGATTCACAGGGTTTACTATGAGAATTAATATGGTAAGATTACTAGACTATAAGCTTCATGGTGGAAAGGACTGTATCTGTTTTGTTCCTCTGTGTATCCTTAGTGAATAGCACATGCCTGGAATGTAGTAGGTATTTATGTCAATTCCTCTTCCTTCCATAGCAGTACAGAATAAAGGGGGTAGCTATATAGTAGTTGTTTCATTTTGGGGTTTTCGGGGTTTTTAGATTGACATTTTATCCTGACATTGGCTACATGTCACTGTATGTAACAAGCAATCTGACTTCTCTGGATTTCAGGTTCTTAATCTGTTATACAACAGAATTAGGCTCAAATATTTGTATTTAATACCTATATTTTTCTTTTTCTTTTTTTCTTTTTTTTAAATATATTTCTTTATTGATTTAAGAGAGGAAGGGAGAGGGAGGAAGAAATAGAAACATCAATGATGAGAGATAATCATTGATTGGCTGCCTTCTGCACGGCCCCCACTGGGGATCAAGCCTGCAATCCGGGCACCTGCCCTTGGCCGGAATCGAACCTGGTACCTTTCAGTCCACAGGCCGATGCTCTATCCACTGAGCCAAACCAGCTAGGGCCTTTTTCTTTTTTTAAAATATTTTATTGATTTTTACAGAGAGAAAGGGAGAGGGATAGAGAGTTAGGAACATCAATGAGAGAGAAACATCAATCAGCTGCCTCCTGCACACCCACTACTGGGGATGTGCCCACAACCCAGGTACATGCCCTTGACCGGAATCGAACCTGGGACCCTTCAGTCCGCAGGCCGACACTCTATCCACTGAGTCAAACCAGTTAGGGCAATACCTATATTTTTCTTGATGCCTATAGCCTGACAGCATACCCTATATATTAGTCTTTTCAGAAAGTAAATGATAAAGAATATTTCTGTTACCAAAAAAAATGCAAATTCAAGTTACATATCCATGTATAGCCCCCAAAGACAGATAATAATCACCTGAATAAAACAACATCTGAGATGTCAAATTGTGTTCAGTGACCATCAACTCAGGTGGGGCCTTGCCATCTGGCACACTGCATTAGCTTGATTCTTCTATTTCGGACCTCCTAATTCTCGTCCTTTCTCGTTTGGCTCCTATTCTTCTTCTGCCCCCTATGGTTATGCCTAAAATTCACCTCTCAACATCTTGTAAGCTCATCTACTCTCACAACTTTAACTACTAGAGTTATCACAGTTAAACTGTGTCCTGCGGTCATTAGATCAATAGGTCAAAACAAACCTCAGGACCTCTGTTCCTAAAATGTAATGCCCATGCAGCTGTGGCTCTCACATGGTATAAACCAGCTCGCTGACCCAGAGAGAAGCAAGGATACCCAGGCCTGCAGCCCTGTGGGACACAGCAAAGGTTTACAGATTTATTCAGGCTGGAAGCCTGAGATCCACATTGAGTTCCCTTACTCCCATTATACATCTTTACAACCCTGAGTCCTTTCCTCACAATATGAACCTCTTATTAGTTGACGATTCTACCATTATAGGCCTGGCTTTACCAGCTCAATGGCACTATAACTGAAGTGAAAGAGTGAAGTCACAGATGACGATGGCTTTAAGAGTGTGATAAATAAGACCCACTGCGAGTAACAGAGTCAATATTCCTACCAACATGCCAGCTGACTCACCTGATGTTTTCCAGGGCGTTTGTTATCTGCTGTTGCTCAATATCAAACAGTTTCACCCTGAAGCCTCCACTGGCAAACAACATAGCCCAGCTTCGCCCAATGAGGCCACTAAAGGGATAGAAAATCAGGAGAGGCTCTCAGTTAATTTGCAATTGAACAGTTTTTTATTCCTAACCCAGAATAATTTTTTTCAAATTATAAGCATCCTATTCTTAAAATATTTAATATCTTGAAATTACACATTTTAAAGTAGGTAAATACCAGTACTCACATCCTCCCACAACCACATCAAAATTACAACTAAAATACAGAACCATCATTCAGAACTGCCTGAAATCTGGCTGAATGTAAGCCCTACAACTAGAGAATTAAAGAAGAAAGTGCACTGACTGGTAGGAGGGGTGGAAGCATGGAACAGGCTGGTCCAACACCCACATGTGGCTGTTTTTATTTTATTTTTTTAATATATTTTTATTGATTTCAGAGAGGAAGGGAGAGGGAGAGAGAGATAGAAACATCAATGATAAGAGAGAATCATTGATTGGCTGCCTCCTGTATGCCCCCTACTGGGGATCAAGCCCGGAACCCAGGCATGTACCCTTAATCAGAATCAAACTTGGGACCCTTCAGTCCACAGGCTGACACTCTATCCACTGAGCCAAACCGGCTAGGGCATGTGGCCTGTTTTTAATCAGTAGGGATATCTTGGCTAAGGAGGCCTCCTGTGAGGAGCAAAGGGTTCCAGCCCCACACCAGAACCCCACCTCAGAGTTCCAGTGCCAAGAAGAGAAGAGCCCATAACTTTGGGCTATAAAAACAAGCAAGGATTGTGGCTGAGTGACACAGAGGCTGCTAGAGTCCCAGGCAGTTCCTCTTAAAGGGCCTGCACATGAACTTACTCGGACTCACTCCCTGTGAGCTCCAGCGCTGGGGAAGCAGCTTGAAAGGATCCAGGGACATATGGAAGGAACTAAACATGAGGACAAGAACAGACAAAAGTGCTAGGACCTCCCCAGCACAGAGCTGACTGGCAGGCACCATATCTGAGTCTCTATCACTGTTTACCAGTGGTTCTCAACCTGTGGGTCGTGACCCCTTTGGGGGTCAAACAACCCTTTCACAGGGGTCGCCTAAGACCATCGAAAACACATATATAATTACATATTGTTTTTGTGATTAATCACTATGCTTTAATTATGTTCAATTTGTAACAATGAAAATACATCCTGCATATCAGATATTTACATTACAATTCATAACAGTAGCAAAATTACAGTTATGAAGTAGCAACGAAAATAATTTTATGGTTGGGGGTCACCACAACATGAGGAACTGTATTAAAGGGTCGTGGCATTATGAAGGTTGAGAACCACTGCTGTTTACCCTGCCCTGGTGATTCCCTGAGATCCTGCCCTACCCAATTTGCAGCCCCACCCAAACTCTTCACAGTGTCTTTTCCATATGAATAACCTATTCTGGCTCAAACTTCAGACTTTCCTAAGATCTCTCAAAGAACCAGCAGCTGGACTCAATGTACCCCATACCTCTCAATAAGTGGCCGCGGCCTGGCACTAGCAGTAGTTTACCAAGGTTCACAGCTTGGCCTCTCCTGAGTACCTCCAAGCCCAACACAAGTAGCACCCATCTGGAGATCACTCTGTAGCTCATGCTGGGTGGCCCCAACAGAGCACAGGCAGTGACTGACTTTGTACCTCCCAGGAGGCCCCAGTGCCAGTACACCCAGTGGAGAACTTCAGACAACACCAGGTTATAACTTTACCACATCCAAGAGCAACGCACTCAGGGGCAGACTCAGTGAGCACCAAAGCCCCACTGAAGCAAGTCCTGCTCCATAGGGGTATCTCTGGCACAGCAATTCTTTTGCTGCAGTTGAAGCAGGTCCTCACAGCCAATTGGCCTGGAGGTCAATTCCTCCCAGTGATGTCAACAGCAATCAAGGCTCAACTACAACAGGACCGTACACACAGCCCACACAGGGGTGCACCTAGAGTGCCCAGCTCAGGTGACTGAGGAGGCTGAGCCACTGGGCCCTACAGGACACCTACTACACGAGGCCACTCTACCAATTCCATGAGACATAGCAGCTCAACCTAATACATAGAAACAAACACAGGGAAGCAGCCAAAATGGGGAGACAAAAAAACATTACCACAAATGAAAGAACAGAAGAAACCTCCAGAAAAATAACTACATGAAATGGAAGCAAGCAAACTACTAAAGAGTTCAAAACAATGGTTAGCCCTAGCTGATTTGGCTCAGTGGATAGAGCATCGGCCTGCAGAACAAAGCATCCCAGGTTCGATTCCGGTCAAGGGCACATACCTCGGTTGTAGGCTCCTCCCAGGCCCAGGCCCTGCAGGAGGCAACCAATCGATGTGTTTCTCTCACATTGATGTTACTCTCTGTCTTTCCCTCTCTCTTCCACTCTACCTAAAAATCAATGGAAAACTATCCTCAGGTGAGGATTAACAAAAAACAATAATGGTTATAAGGATGCTCAAGGATCTTAATGAGAGGTTCAAGGGACTTAGTGAGAATTTCATGGATCTCAGTGAGAACATTAAAGACATGAAAAAAGACCAGTCAGAAATGAAAGATACACTAACTGAAATGAAGAATAATTTACAGGGAATCAGAAGTCAAATAGAGGATCCTGAGAATCAAATTAACAATTTGGAATAAGAGGAAGCAAAAAGACACCCAATCAGAAGAGCAAAAAAAATCCCAAAATGTGAAGATAGTGTAAGGAGCATCTGGGACAAAGTCAAGCATACCAACATTCGCATCATGGGGGTGCCAAAAGGAGAAGAGAGGGAGCAAGAAATTGAAAGACTGTTTGAAGAAATAATGACAGAAAACTTCCCCTACCTGGTGAAAGAAATAGACTTACAAGTCCAGGAAGTGCAGAGAGTCCCAAACAAGAAGTCCAAAGAAGACACATAATAATTAAAATGCCAAAGGTTAAAGACAAGAGAAAAGCAGTTACCTATAAGGGAGCTCCTATACGACTGTCAGCTGACTTCTCAACAGAAACTTTGCAAGCCAGAAGGGGGTGGCAAGAAATATTCAAAGTGATGAATAGCAATGACCTACAAGCAAGATTACTCTACCCAGCAAAGCTCTCATTTAGAATTAAAGGTCAGATAAAGAGCTTCACAGACAAAATTCATCACCATCAAAATAATATTATATGAAATGTTGAAGGGTCTTCTTTAAGAAGAAAAAAAAGACCAAAAATATGATCAATAAAATGGCAAAAGGTACATATCTATCAACAATTGAATCTAAAAATCAAAATAAATAAACAAGAAATCTAATGAACAAAATAAACTGATGACTAAAATAGAAGTAGAGGCATGGAGACATGGAACAGAGTGACCAATCTCAGAGGGAAGGGGGATGGAGGGAGTGGGAAGAGATTAACTAAAGAACTTATATGCATGCATGCATTACCCAAAGACACCAGGGTGGTAAAGGTCTGGAGCGGAGCAGGATCTGGGTGGAGGAGGGCAATGAGGAGGAATAATGGGGGGACACTGTAATACTCTCAACAATAAAGTTATTTTTAAAAATACACATTTTGATAGCTGCATTGATTCTAAATGTTGTCTTTGTCCACGTAGGAGTTCCTGAATCCTCAATTCCAGCCCAGCATTAATGTGTATGGAGTACCACCGGACAGGTAGTTAACAGGCACTTACACACTGAAACAAAAAGTTAGAGTTGGGAGGTGACAGGATGTCATGGATGAGACAGGCCTCCTAAGGGATCCTCCATCTGACCATTTCGCTTATCCTGAAGAATAGGTAGAATTTCCCCTGTCTCTTAAATAAATAAATAACTGCTATTACCACTGGCATTAGACCATGTATTAGGTGCCAGGCAACATTAAAAATGTTATGTGTCCCACCTCTGTTAATCTTTACAACAATCCTCCAAAGTCAGTACTATTATTATTTCCATTTTATACAAAGAAAAACTGAGGCACAGGTGGGTTAAGATGATACATGCTGTAAGTGCTAGAGCTGAAATGAACTCCAGCAGTCTGACTCTTGAGTCCTTACCATTACGTTCTGCCCACTGCTTCAGATTTATTGAAAATAAAGGGACAGAGGAACGTGTTAAATGACATTACAGGGTTACATTCAGCAAATTCCAGAATGGAAAATTTTACAAATGATCATGTTCTTCAATAAGTAACTGCCAGGACCCAGATCATTTCTCAGAGTTATGTTTGCAGAACAATGCTGAGAGAAGAGGAAATATATCCCTCAAGGACAAAGAGCAAGCTTGCTTACCTCTTACTATAAAAAACAGTGGCTTCCCCAAGTTCAATGTCCCTCTCCTGGAACATACTCAATGAATCTGCAGCTGTCCACCAGCCCCTCCACTTCACCTCCATGGGACTCGGGGAGAAGGGAACCATCCCAAGTATAAATGTTCACGCGGCCTGCTCTGCTGTGATTAATAAAGTCCTTTGTCTCTGACCCTGCAGTCTCACGTCCTTTGCCAGCTTTCAAGAAACAGTAACCAGCTAACTTACTAGTATGCAGGTAGCCTGAACGGACAGTAGGGCAAGCTTGTCTCAGTCATGGTGTTATTTCACTGAAGTAATTATAGGAGCCACTTTGGGGAAGGGAGGCTAGAATAGCAGTCACAGGGCGGGCTCCAAGAAGCATTCTCCCCACTCTACCCCCTCCCACTTCCTCCTTTTTCGGCTAATCTGTAGTTCAGGTTCTGAGCACAGAAAAGGCTTCACACTAGAGATAGTTAAAATCCCTATAGCTTCTGTCATAGCTTTCGGGCCCAAGTGATTGAAGCAAAGAGCTTAGCACACCTCCCATTAAGGAAAAATCCTGCAATTGCCACAGAAGTGCTATCCAAGCTTCAAAGCTCTCACAGAATGCTCATTTGAGCTAAGCCTTTAATGCATACAAAGGGCCATTGAGAGGGGCTACTGTCTTCTTATAAGGTATCTTATGTGAAACCCTATAGGGGAAAAAAGTGAAAGCAACTGAAATAATCTCTACACAACTTCTGGAGAAGGGAGCAGGATTATGCCATGGATTTTATTCCATATTCTTCTG